AATGACATGGATATGAAAATGGAAAAGCTCTGATTTCTTCATACTGACAGCTACATATATGTACAAAGTAACTGTTAGAAGTCATACCAAACCTATCTGCCATGTACAACAGGTGCAAATGTCTCTCGGTTTGTTTGGTTGTTCAGAGAAACGTTTAAAGGATTTCTTTCATCGGAAACGCTAACCTTGAGCAGTACATTATATTAACACTTATCAACGTTACAATGTACAGTATGATCACTTAGGTGTAACAGGTCGTATCAACAGAGCAATACATTATATTAACATGATCACTTAGGGGTAACAGGTCCTATCAACAGAGCAGTACATTATATTAACACTGATCAACGTTACAATGTACCGTATGATCACTTATGTGTAACAGGTCGTATCAACAGAGCAGTACAGTATATTAACACTTATCAACGTTACAATGTACAGTATGATCACTTAGGTGTAACAGGTCGTATCAACAGAGCAGTACAGTATATTAACACTTATCAACGTTACAATGTACAGTATGATCACTTAGGTGTAACAGGTCGTATCAACAGAGAAGCACATTATATTAACACTTATCAACGTTACAATATACCGTATGATCACTTAGGTGGAACAGGTCGTATCAACAGAGCAGTACATTATATTAACCCTTATCAACGTTACAATGTTCCGTATGATCACTTCGGTGTAACAGGTCCTATCAACAGAGCAGTACATTATATTACCTCTTATCAACGTGACAATGTACCGTATGATCAGTTAGGTGTAACAGGTCGTATCAACAGAGCAGTACAGTATATTAACACTTATCAACGTTACAATGTACCGAATGATCACTTAGGTGTAACAGGTCGTATCAACAGAGAAGCACATTATATTAACACTTATCAACGTTACAATATACCGTATGATCACTTAGGTGTAACAGGTCGTGTCAACAGAGCAGTACATTATATTAACACTTATCACCGTTACAATGTACCGTATGATCACTTAGATGTAACAGGTCCTATCAACAGAGCAGTACATTATATTACCTCTTATCAACGTGACAATGTACCGTATGATCAGTTAGGTGTAACAGGTCGTATCAACAGAGCAGCACATTATATTAACACTTATCAACGTTACAATATACCGTATGATCACTTAGGTGGAACAGGTCGTATCAACAGAGCAGTACATTATATTAACCCTTATCAACGTTACAATGTACTGTATGATCAGTTAGGTGTAACAGGTCGTATCAACAGAGCAGTACAGTATATTAACACTTATCAACGTTACAATGTACAGTATGATCACTTAGGTGTAACAGGTCGTATCAACAGAGAAGCACATTATATTAACACTTATCAACGTTACAATATACCGTATGATCACTTAGGTGTAACAGGTCGTATCAACAGAGAAGCACATTATATTAACACTTATCAACGTTACAATGAACCGTATGATCACTTAGGTGTAACAGGTCGTGTCAACAGAGCAGTACATTATATTAACACTTATGAACGTTACAATGTACCGTATGATCACTTAGGTGTAACAGGTCGTATCAACAGAGCAATACATTATATTAACATGATCACTTAGGTGTAACAGGTCCTATCAACAGAGCAGTACATTATATTACCTCTTATCAACGTGACAATGTACCGTATGATCAGTTAGGTGTAACAGGTCGTATCAACAGAGCAGTACATTATATTAACACTTATCAACGTTACAATGTACCGTATGATCACTTAGGTGTAACAGGTCGTATGGTAATCAGACCATATGCAATGTGCTTTATATGTTTCTATTGCTTGCTTTTGTAGTGTCACATGTCTGTTCCATGGTTTGGTTTAGCATTGTTTAACGTCATATCAACAGCTATGGTCATTTAAGGACGGGTCTGTTATATGTACAAGCGTGCCAGGGTTTTCTGGATAGATGTTATATTAGCATTGTATGATTTAATCCTTAGTGCTTAGAAATACTTTAAGTTATGATATTCAAATGTTCACTTTTAATAATGTCTTCTTTGAATACTTAAGTTTTACATTGTTTATCTGTAATCGTACTTCATGCTGCTTTTGTTTATTTAAATTTTAATTTCTTATCAACACTATTCTTGTAATCATTTAATGAACTGAAACTGTTATATCTCGGGGCCTTTGTTGGCAGGGGATACCTTATCACTTTGAAAACTGGGATATGATACCTTGTTCTTTCATTGTGAAAGGATTTAAAACTATACATGCGTAAAATATCAGTGACTACCCTTGTTTCATGTGGTATTATTGTTTTATTGTTTAATATGTGTTTATCGCAATAATAGCTCACAGGAGATGTTATTTCTTGTTCCGTTGCTGGCTTGATATTCTGCTGCAACGTATCAAGTGGGAAGAGGATAGTCACTATCTACAAGCATATAAGCTTCCATCGACGTTCTACCACAACAACACTAACTTGTTGTACCTTGTTTTAGCTGTATACGACTCTTAATAAGGTTGCGTATCCGGTCCACTTATCTGCCTGATACATATATGTCACGCTGTAATTAGTAACGTCGACCCCATGATCTGTTTCCTAGGAGACCTGTTCACTATTTCACTGTCCTTGGCGACAATTTTTGACACACATATGTAGTTTCCCACTGCTATCTTTTCTTATCCATACTGAGGTCATAACTTGTTCTTGTGTGTTGGGGCTGTGTCATTTGGTATTATGATTTTTCATACATATATGTACACAATACGTTTCCATTACGTCCATAAAATAATTAAGTTGTCGGACTGTCATTGTGTTTAAATCTCATACCGTTCTTTTTAAAGATACAAAAAAAAATCCAAAATTTTATCTCAATTGTATTGAAATTCCGCCAGGTTTGGTTCCCTGGGATCAGCATTTTCATGTATGTCATCACGCCGGAAGGGACTTTATCATACATGCACTGACACATTTCATAGACTTTCAATTATCAATGCGTTCACGATCTGTGCATGTATTGTATATTTTACATTCAAACGCTCAACATTTATATACTCTACATGATTAAACACCGTCACAGTTAGTTCAAATACAGTCTAGTGTTGCTGTTGTAAAACTGATCATGCGGATAATATATTTTTCAGTGCACATTAAAACCTTTATATACACTAATGGTGCAAATATATCTAGTACTTGATACTTAAGATGTATACCAACGTAATTTTGAATTATATTTAGGACAAATTATATACATGTATGTTGTCAAATATGATAGTCATAAAATCCGGATGAAATGTCCGTAGCCGTCCTATGGATTTTATGTGGAAACTCGTTTTTATTGTTAGGATGAGTAGTTTTTTGTATGGATATTCATCGGTAAACCAACGAGGATTTATTTCAGACGTTTGCAAAACATTCATGAAATTTAAAATACAGTGTCTATTCAGAGACTTTATCGTTAGCCCGATAACTATACCAAAATACGCATGGAAACGCTTTATTGACAAATTTATGTCAGACCGGTATTACAATAAATGGAGAGAAAAACTGAGTGAAAAACACGAACTCCGACGTTACTCTGTGATCCATACGACACGAGGCCCTAGCCCGTTGTTACTTCTAAGCTTAAAATATAGACCGTTTACGTGGGACATAGTGTATATCCTCAAATTATCATTTACTTGGGAGAACACTGACGTTGTTTGTAAAAGTAGTGATATTTCATAGTAGAGATATGTTTTTAGAGAAAGTTGTAGACTATATAAATGTGAATTCATACGCTGACTTCTCATTTTTGGAAGAAAGCGACCAAACAAACTTCCTTCTTGGAGATCGAACTAAAGTAACACTACCAGATGACGAATGGGAGCAACTTATGCTAGCAGTAGCCACCAATATAAAACACCTCTTGGAAGATATGAACTCTGTTCTGTAGATGTTTTCCGATATTCTGTAATATGTGAAGTGTGTCTTTATGTGTATAATCTCTTATGTAAGAGGAAATAAAGAATATCTATCTATCTCTATCTATCTTTAGGACAAGTTATATACATGTAAGTTGTCAAATATGATAGTCATAAAATCCGGATGAAATGTCCATAGCCGTCCCATTTATAATACATATACTACATGTGAACTATACACACAATATGTACTTTCGGTTTACAAACTGCACATGGTAATCTGTTAGTAATTTAATAGTAGTGTAGAATATCTCGTCATCAACGAACCCTTTTCTCTTCCGGCGTAACTTTAATGTACAAAGATACATTTCTTGTATTTTCTGTTTGGAATTGGAGAGGGTATTTCATCAAGTCGAGTTGTGTCAAGTTGTTGATGTCCATCAGCATTGCAAAAAACTCGCTCAACTTGCTCAGGTTGATGGGTGAGGCTTAAACAGGTGACACGTTGCATCGTCATTGGTTCTCATAATTTCTACTACATTTAAATATAAAATCCTTTCAAAATATATATATTTTAAACAGGCAAAAAGGAACAACTCGACGCGATGTAAGAAACGAAGAAAACGTGCAGCTTTTCTGTGAAATGAAGAGGAATGCGTCACGTGACAATTTTTTGACAAGAATACGTATTTGTAACATACAAAATGTATGCTATTAAAAGATCGGAAACATTTTTGTTAATTGAAATGTTTAAAGGTGGCATTGATAAAGACTATGAACATACAGAGAATGACATTTCGATACAAATATGCTATTTCCCTGCAATACCATGACCGCTATGGTCTAAACAGTGTCACGACCCCTGCTGGGTGGTTATCATGGTCGTCAAATACGAGCATCTGCAATAATTACACTCATTTGAAAAACGTTACGATTAACTGGGTTAGTTAAACTAGATAGACGATTGTTTGGAAGATGTACTTTTGACGTTGTGATCTGTTTGAAGCTTTGAAATAAGCACGAAGAACTCAATATTTCCTTTTAATCATGGTCGATTTAAATTTAAATTCATGCAGTGTTCGTCCCTCTCATTCATTGATGTTTATTTGATTTCAGATATGTCAAAGCAGGAGATCGCGCAAGAAAATGAAAGTCTCCGGACCCAAGTTAAGGATATGCGGAGAGAATGTTCAGTGATCCGTGACATTATCAACCAACTCGATCAGAACTACGAGTCTTCGAAACACTTCTCACTGATACAGCGATACAGGGTGATGAAGCTGATGATCAAAAATGTGATTCACGACCGGCTTGTGCAGTAACTGAGTAGATGACCACATCAGATGATTCCCGAACAGACAAGGAATGTACATGTACAAGAGAATTACAATCATTGTTGAAGGTTGTACCTAGAATCCTTTGTATGAGACCATTTTCCAGGAACAGTTGTCAGTCATTAATTGTACAATGTTCTAGAGGATCACCGAACGAACATTTGTTATTTATAGAGAATATGTAAATGAGCTTCAGATAATCACCGAACGGACATTTGTTATTTATAGAGGATATGTAAATGAGTAAATGAGCTTTGATCATTGCAATAAATAAATGACCACCGTACACTGGTGGTTGACAGCACAAGATCTTTATTTCAGGAAACTGGTCAAGATTGGTGATGATTGGCGCTACAGTATATGAACTGATGTTATCTCATTTACTTATAGATAGACTAGTGAGCATCAAAATTATATCTCATTTTCATTCAGAAATTTGTCATTAGCTGATATGTAATCAAGATTATGTTCTCAGAACGTTATATGTACATGGGTTTTCTCAAAGTTAATGCATAAGTGCTTTTAAATAAAATGCATTGGATGTATTCACACATTTAAATGTACCGAGTCCTTATATAAAACATGAGTTCGACAAACCAATGTTAATATACAACACGTGTCAAATAATACTAAAAGTATACAACACGTGTCAAACAAAACATAATATATACAATATGTGTCAAACGAAACAGTAAAAGTAGCAACAACTGCCAAACAAAAACATTGAATATATACAGCATGTGGCAAACAAAATAATAAAAGTAGCAACAAATGACAAACACTCGAGATATTCAAAAGTGTCGAAAAAACACTTTGTAAAAGGGAACAAAAATAGTCATAAATTTAAGGCACACGAAACTTGTCAAACAAAACACTAAACGTATTAAATATGTTGTGTCTATTCGTCTCGTAAAAATTATGTGACGAACAAAACACTAAAGATTAACAACATGTAACAAACAAAACACTAAAGATGTTCAGTAAGTATTTTTTTTAAACCCACTAAATCTATACAAATTGTGTCAAATAAAATATAACAGGTAGACAACACGTGTCAAACAAATCGTGAGAGGCCGACAACAAATGTCAAACACAAGGTAAAGGTAGACAATACGTATCAACAAAACGTGAAATGCCGACAACAAGTGTCAAACACAAGGTAAAGGTAAACAACACGTGTCAACAAAACGTGAAAGGCCGACAACAAGTGTCAAAAACAAGGTAAAGGTAGACAACACGTGTAAACAAACCACTAAAGATGTTCAATATGTATAATAAAATAACCACCACGAAATCTATACAAATTGTGTCAAATAAAATATAACAGGTAGCCAACACGTGTCAAACAAATCGTGAGAGGCCGACAACAAATGTCAAACACAAGGTAAAGGTAGACAACACGTGTCAACAAACCACTAAAGATGTTCAATATGTATAATAAAATAACCACCACGAAATCTATACAAATTGTGTCAAATAAATCATTACAGCTAAACAACACGTGTCAAACAAAACATTAAATGTATACAACACGTGTCAAACAAAACATCAAACTCACTATGCATTCCGGTTTTTTATTTTGTTATAAAAGGCACTAACAGATATGAAAGTTTATAATGTGTCAAACAACACATTGCAGGTAAACAATGTGTGTTAGAACAAAACCAATAAACCTATACAACGCGTGTCAATAATCTCACTAAGGATAAAGGCATTAAACTGCTTCCAGATGCGGTTCATATGCAATATGAATGCCAACTGCATTACAGGAACATGACATGAACCGCGATTGAAGGTACATTTTCCTGTGACTGAAGTTTTCATATGTAGACAGTAAAACGTATTTTTTTGTATCAGTTCTCGTTCTCACTTAATATATTTTGTATTGTAATGATCAGAAAAAGAGGTTCCCCAACGGGAGAGGATTGATTATCATGTTTATCTTACTCGAATGAGTTTATCTTCAAATTTTATAAAGACACGAGGTTTACCGAGTGTCTTTTACAATTTGAAAATTAACTTACGAGAGTTAGATGTACGTGATAACTAATCATCACGAGTTTTGGGACCTGTTTCACCCATAACGTCCGTATTTTTTCGGGGGAAAAAAACACATTTTTCCCTGGATTATACATCATGCGTGTTTCCGATTGGGGGAAAATGACCATGAAGTATGACGTCACAATGGAAAATGACGCCAAAAAACAGTGTTACGTGACGTGTAAATCAAAGATTGACAAACGAAATCACGTCCAGGGTGTTACGGGTAACCAAAAATATTTACCAATTCCTAGCAAGTTTATCCAATGAGTCATGAGTGAGGAAATCTACAGCGGCTGTGGGAGAAAAGAATATTCAAAACATGACTTTATCGCGTAATTTTATGATTATAGACGTTGTTTGTTAATGACGTCTCACCACGGAGGCATGTCGGCTACATTCGAAAATTGAGTAATGCGGTCGTCGCGGAAAGCATGTCGTCCCGTTATTTGTTGATATTGAAGAAATATTTGAATGTTGAGTTCGCAAATTTCAGTGTAAAAGCTGGAAAGACAGATATTTGTTTCTCTGGTTGTGTTACTAGAACCTAGTGACACAGATAGCAACATTTCATTTTAAAGGAAGAGGGTAACGGACGTACCGGAACGTGAGCTAGTAAGAGGCACGGTAGTCTAGTGGTAGGACGCCGGGCTCGTGACCGAAGGGTTGCGGGTTCAAGCCACGGCACGGAACTGTGTTGTATATTTGAGCAAGATACTTTACTCCGCTTGTTCCAGTCTACTAAGCTGTAAATGAGTACGTGGTTGGGCAGTGCTAGAATTGTTGAATGCTAGCTGTGAGTGCCGAAATGGCAGCACCGACTGTATGCTCCCAAGGGAGTTGAGAAAGATGTTGGTTGGTTGCAAAGGCCCTATAACCACGGATAATAATTTGTAAACCGCTTTGAGACGACCTACGAACTAGGTTGTGATGAAGCGGTATATAAGAACCTCCAGTTATTATTATTATTAGTTTTACTTAAAAGTCCTTTATATTTTTTTTTACTCAGTATAATAAACAACAAACTATGCAATTAGCTGCTCGGCCTTAAGCCGCACGTGCTTCTCAACCTATACAAGTGTCACGTACCTATAGGACAACTATTTACTGCTATTCTACGAACTGCAGGAAATTTAAATTCCATTCAGTCTTAAACTGAAAGTATGAGTATGATACGTTAATACTTCTCCTTTCGGTTTTATAACCTAAAACGAAATTTACTTGGTTCATATAGTGGCTTTGCATTGCAAATGTAAATATTTACATCTCTCCCTTCTTCAGCTTAGCAAAAGCTGACTGCGTATAGCTTATACGCAGTGAAAAAAGGCTCGGCTGACCAATACATGTACTTGTTTCAAAAATTGCGCTATTCATGCTTCAGCGAGAAAACAGTCCGATGACAAGCATTGCTTGGTTCCTTCACCATCTAAATACATGGAACAGATTGGGGATCCATTATGTCTAACTATACAACAAAGGGATGTTGACGAGAGTCTTATTCCATGGATGTACTTTCAAATATCTTTGACGGTAACGTAAACAATTGAGGCTACGTTCTGAAACATTTGACAACGTCACTTCATGAGCAGTGTGTCAAATATACGCCTACATGAAGACCGTTGTAAACGAATAAAATTTTCGATGGACTTCTCATATTACTTAATTTGAAATGAATAAGCTATAAAAGGCAGAAATACAGTGGTGTTGTTCACTGTGGATTTCTAAATTTTTCCATGTATCGATGTAGATTCACTGGAACTATATTATCCGAGCAACCACGGCTACCGTAGTTACCATCATAGCAACCCGCTTCGACTGTCCTGTATTGTAGCATTTAAACCTTTTTTGGATGTAAACATAAGGATTAACATCCATTTTGACGGCAATACGGTAGTATGAACGCAGTTGGCAACGAACATATTCTATGCTGCGGTAAGTGCTAACGCGCACCATAGAATATGGTCGTTGCCAACTGCTTCAAACTACCGTATACACCATCAAAATGAAGGTCGATCCTTAAATATACACGAGTGAACAAAACACTGAGGGTAATCAACAAAGGCATGCAACGTCTACCAAACAAAATCCTCAAGGTATGCCGTGTTAGTTTTGGTTGTGATTGTAACGGGGACCGTTACAGAAGTCCTCCATACCACCCCAATTGTATCAAACGATGCCCTGAACCTTGCAGTGACATAAAACAGGGAAAAGAGAAAGAAAAAGGATAAGAAACGCAGAAAAAAAACATGCCTTACTTTTCGTTTTGGTTACTTTTAGATCCCTGTCCCGACTGGACTGTGTTTTTCTAGCAATATCCATGTAACTCCGTTTACATATACCTGTAGCGCAGTTGGGCCAGGAAACATCCGTAGACTAGACCAGCTACTGCCAAGCCTCGCTGAAACGTTTCACTCAGAACACTGTCGTTGATAATACTATGTTCAGTTTATCTTTGCTATTTCTCATTAAAGTACCGCAAGGTAAGGTTTCCTTTTCATAAATGGTTATTAAAACTTTAGTCGTGCCGGAAACAAACAGTTTTTCAATAGTTACAATGTAGTTACCGTTAATACGACAATCTAACCACATGTGGCAGATGAACTAATTAGGGAACAGTCAAAACATCTAGTGTTTTATAAAGGGCTTTCAGTGCCATAATACACTGTGGTAGACGACCCCAATAGAGTATACTTAACATGGCAGTCAACGTACAACGTATATAATCACATCTCTCACAATTTTTATGACAAAGCTGAAAAAGATTTTCTTCACGGTTCACAGAAGACATCCGATAACCACTTTGCCCAGCTTGTTGCAATTTTCCCTTTTCACATAACAGATAATTCGAGGTTCTTATATGCCGCTTTATCACAACCTAGTTCGTAGGTCGTCTCAAAGCGGTTACCAAATTGTTATCTGTGGTTATAGGGACTTTGCAACAAGCCAATATCTTTCTGAACTCCCTGGGGAGCATAGCCAGTGCTGCCATTTTGGCGCTCACAGCTAGAATTCAACAATTCTAGCACTGCCCAACCACGTAATCATTTACAGCTGAGAAGACTGTAACAAAAAGATTAAATTATCCATTTCAAAAATACAACACAGTGCCGTGACGTGACTTGAACCCGCAACCATTCGACCACGAGCCCGGCGTCCTACCACTATTCTACCGTGCCATGCATGTACATGTACCTGGCCACAAATATCATGGTTCACATACCACAAATTGTTACAGTTCCCCCTATTTACAGAAGAAAAATCATGTTATTTTCTCGTATTTAGAGGAATTAGACAATAGGTTTTAATGTTGTTCGAGAGCAAATACATTGAAAAAAGGGGGTTTGGCGAAATGGGGGTGGGTTCAGTGTGACAGGTGACAGGTTTTAATTTTACATAAGGTCGCCTTCTTACCATTTTACTCATTTGGACCAAATTAAACTCGGGTGGACCTCTTCATAAATAATAAATTTGAAATAATTTTGCCATTATGTAAGGGAACAAAAATTATGAATAGTAGAGACTTAAAAATGACAAAACAAGACCTTAAACAGAAATAAAGTGTGAAGATGAACTTCAAAAAACATTTAATTGGGAGAAAATATGGGGAAATAATAAATGTAAACTGATTGCAACAGAAACAAAAATAAGGGAACTCCATTGGAAATGTGTTCATAAATTAATTTATAATGAATATAAACTCCATGTTATGAACTGATCAAACGGTATATGTCATATGTGTAATATTGAATTAGAAACATTGAGCCACCTATTTTTTCATTTTAACTTTGTTACTCAAGTGGTACAACGCATACAGAATAATGTTATAAATAAAATACCTGGACTATTGATTACTTTGAACAAAGAAATAATATTGTTAGGAGAATGTTCAGATACAAACATAGCACCAACAAACACTGTTGTCTATACAATGAAATGCGTTATCTGGAAGACAAGAAATATAATCAAATATCAAAACAAGAGACAGATACCAGTATCTACATTTAAAATGTTTAAACATATCTTATTAGAAAATTTAAAATTATTTATAAAATCAAATTCAATAGGAGATACGAAATCTACACGTATTCTAATTCATAACTACAAAGTATTGCAAGGTATATTAACTAGCACCTAGACATATTAAAGCCTGGGGGGTTTTTTTTTGGGGGGGGTGTCGGAATTTTTTTTAATACATTATACTCTGACTATCATCAACATATCCTCTAGACACAACACTATAACGCTAACATGCCACTTTAATTCACTGAATTGGATGATGTTATACCATACGAAGCATTACATATACTAGTATTTACTGTACCATATAATAACGTTTGTGCGAAGTCTGTTCACCATCGTTACTCAAACCGGAAATCAGATTGTAATTATAATTAGAATAGAGTACGGACAAGAATATCCGGAAGTTTATCAAAAATATGAATTGTATACTTATTTGTTAATATATATGTATGACGAATACTGATACGTGATCGAATATTTTGAACAGTATGTACATTATTTAAAGGCGATTCTAGACGCCCATGTACATTGTATGTATATATATCTCTCTCTATATATATAGGGGGCAAAGAAGTAATTCCAGCAGTGTGGACAAGTTTAGGTTGTCAAATGTTCGGAGCGATCCGCTCCTTTTTCAAGACACAGTGAAACAGAACGGTTGCATGTACATATACATCATATTACAAGAAGATAGAACTGATATACTATACTTGAAAATACAGCTATTATATAAAACCAATAGCCCCCTCGGCTAAAGACAGCCGAAGGCAGCAATTAAGCTGAGAGCATCGCGGACAAGGAATGCTGATGTAGAGGACCTATACTTGCGCTAGATACACTATCACATAAAGTGAGTCAACGAGAGATAAGCACCAGAAAGAAGGGACGAGATATCAAAATCTTGGAACATGTGCATGTGTGAATCTGACCCGGTAAATGTGAAATATCTCAATTTCCTACGGAATGTCTGATTAGTCGCCTCTCAATTCTTCGGTGGATCTAACAGTCACATCAGGGGGTCCCCATTTAGTCGCCTCATTCGGTTTGCAGGAATAATGCATGTAATTATCAAACAAGTGAGTGCAGGGGGAATAAGTAGATGAAATGGCTAAGATACTGTATAAATCTGCAAAATTAATCTAACAACGGCTGTTGGTCACACACACTGACATGAAGCAGCAGGCAGGCGAGATAGCAGACCAACTGTGCAGTAATGCATCATTAGGTCAAATGCCCCTGGAAGGAAAACGAGCGGATGGCAACCGCCTATCGTTCGTTCATACCTCGAGGGAAGCGGGTTTGTAGATTGGTGATCCAAAACCGTTCTCTCGTACGTCGTCTCGTTTCATCCCATGTAGGGCAATGATCTATGGCAACAACCTGCATGTCTTTCCAACTGTGGCTAGGCATATTAAAATGCCTTGCCACAGGGAAGTCTGGTTTGTTCTGCTTGATGGAGCAGCGGTGTTTGTTGATTCTGACATTGAGCTGGGTGCAGGTCTCGCCCACGTACTGTAAATTGCATTTATTGCAGGTAATAAGGTACACCACATTGACTGATGTACATGTCAGTGTTTGTAGTATAAGATACACTTTGCCGTTGATTGTACATTGAAATGTATCTGTGGAGCGAGTGTATGGACACAGTTTGCACACCTTCGTGTTACAGGTATTGGAAGAGCCTTTCGCCGCAGCAGGGTTAGGTGTAGGTAGCTTGCTGCTTACCACAAGATCTCTAATGTGTTTAGGTCTACGATATACCAGTATAGGAGACTCTGGAAAGATCTGCCTAAGTTTCGCTGAAGATTCGATGATGCGCCAGTGCTTTTTCAAGATAGATGGAAGTGGCGGCATGTCTGGGTGGAACATGACTACACAAGGTACCCTTTGTGTTTGGGGTCTGACTTTGTATACAAGCAGACTTGCCCTGTCCAGTACCCTCACTTTGTCTATTTCCCGATCTATCAAAGTAGATTTGTATCCTCTGCCAAGAAGATGGGACTTTAACTCTGAACATCTGCGTTCAAAGATGATATCATCCGAAATAATACGCCTGATGCGCAGAGCTTGGGAGTAGGGTTTAATATATATAATGGACATATAATAAAGTTTTGGAAAATATAACAAAAAAACACAAAAAAAACAGCTACTATGTGGGAACAAAGTCGTATATTTTGCCGTTATCGCTCAGGCGATAAATGCCAACAAGACACTATGTCTAGCCTTTAAATTTCACATTGTCCTTTCTTTCTCATGTGAAATAGGGTGGTTGGATGGTGCATCGGATAGCATACTCACCTTACACCAAGATAACCGGGGTTCGATTTTCCGATCGGACGTAAACAGGTATTGGATTACCTGCATTTGCCCCCCATAGTAACACGCCCTACGCGCTACCATCAGGGCCAACAAGAGTGGTTATTATAAGTTGATAGAATTTGTTTCGCAGTCCTAAAATACATAAAAAAAATAATTAAAGGGGATCTTTCCATAGGGCTGTACGTCAACAACGTGTATGTTTGCTTGTACAAAGTGTACGTCTTTAAATAGAACTTTTCCTGGTCGACAGCACTGACATAGCTCATTTTTACCTAGAATGAGCACACGTCTTCATTCGCGTTAGGGTATCAACAGTAGAAACGAAAGCAGATCCACCGCCGTCATAGATTTAAGTGCGAGCTCGTGTTATGGAGGTAAGGTTGTGCACTTACAGATACACCTTTACAATTCATTATACCTTATTCCATCGTCACTTTTGCTATAATTGTCTTACTGAATAACACTCTGACAGCAATTGACAAAATGACGTTGTATAATAATCCATGTTTCAACACCAAATTTATAAATGAAATATAATGTACAAAAAAACATACGGAATGTTAATTATGTTTTGGTTTTGCTTCGCACTGAAAGTGATTTTGAACGACATATTCCTGAACGGTATAAGCTTCGCTTCATTAATGTTGAGAAAATCCAGATTAAAACCCTGTCTCAGCTTTCATTGGTGTGTTTATTATTCCCAGTCTTCAATTCACCATGACAGAATCGTTTCACAAGATCTAATGATTTGTTAAAAGCATGATTGAAAATAGTTGGAACAATCCCAGCAGTAAGCATTTAGTATAGTAGAATTACAGGACTGCCGTACGTTATTATTGTAAATTCCTTTAATGAATATTGAAAAACAAATCCGAATAATATAAAAGCAGGTCAATCAATGCAAGCAATGCTATACAATCGGTATCTAACGCTCCTTTAAATCTAGTTGCCTGTGAATTAATCACGCTTTAGGTGATAAGGAGACGCGAACAGCAGGCTAGTTCAGGCCGACATGCTTATCTCTCTTATAAAAGAGACCGTCTTGTTTCGTGACTTTTGTTTTCTTAGACTGCGGCAAAGATGTTCGTTCCTATTCTTCTCGCATGCGTTGTGGCAGTGTTTGGTATGTATTTGATTGACTCCTTGCGACGTCTCAGATTCGGTCACAAACCGTGTTTACCATATTTTGTTGACAAAGCAATCGTCCAGATTAAGAAATAGTTTGACGTTATCTGATGTAATTGTGTGATTTAACTGTTAACATCATTTTTGTTTTTCTGTATTGGGCTACCTTGGTGATTGGTTTTCTCACTCATATCTACATTTTTACCAGTGAAATATTGAAAAATTATTCATTCTGTAAAAGTGGAAAATATCACTTTTTCTGATTCGACCAATCAAAACACTGATTTATAACTATAATTGGAAAAATTGCAAGCTGCCCATCTGGTCAAAGGCTGGTTAGCTTATTCAGACTCTTTATGAAAATCGGCCCGTTTTACTGCCAAGAAATGTCAGATCTGTTACCTATCATTGGGGAACTTTTCTCGGGGGGGGGGGGGGGGGGGGGGGGAGAGAAAACGACATTTAATTCCATAGTTAACTTTAATTTTAAGGAAGCCAGCAGACTATGCAGGTCATCATTTCTATCTGTTTGGTCAGAGGAAACTCATAGTAAATGAAACACGGTGTCAGCGCGTAATTTTAAGTTAGGCTAAGCGATTGGCAGAAAGTACAAGATAACTAGGGTCATCTCTGACAGTGATAGTGATAAAGTATGACTTACATATAGGTGGTGTTGATATTAGACTAACAGGTAAGTAGTGACACAATACTCTGCATTTTAGATTCGACGCTTATCAACAATGTGAAGTGATCTGGGTTGATGACGGGACCATATTTTAAATAATTACATTATGTTAGTAATTTGGCATGCCTTATTGAAAAAATAAAGTTAAGTACCTACTTTACTTAGATAAAGTATTGAAGGAATTTTATTATGAGTTTTACATTTTATTAAAATATTTGCAGTAAGGACTATATTTTGTCGTGTAGGGTTGGCTAAACAGGCTATTGGTAAACGGATCCAGATCAAATATTGTCAGCTTTATGTGTTGTTTCCCGTTCCGGGGTAGGTTTTCGTAAAACATGTCATAAAAATAATATCCAACAGTGTCTTCAGTAAACCAAATATATTTCACACTCGTGGCTAATACTTGATATCATTCACTCGTGCTGCGCACTCGTGAAAGATGTCAAAATGTTAGCCTCACTCGTGTAATATATCTGTTATTACTGAATACACTCAATAGTGTTAGCTATCCTCTATATATCTTGTTGATTTAAAAAAAAAACTTTTTATGAACAAGGAAATAAGTAGAATTGATTTTGAAATGTCTTAAACAGGCATTTGAATCTGTTTACTTCTATGAACATGTTCTAGCTTACCAGCTAATTTATAAAGATCGCAATGTTGAAATGTCATTTTCAGACGTATTATACTCTAATGGACTTTTGAAAAAACGTTTCTTCAATAGTCAATTGTGAGGCTTTGTTATGTGGGAATGAGTAGAGTGTTTATACAGTTATTTACCTTTACAATATGTAGTAACTAAGCACCAGAGCATTACGCGTTCTGAAATCTATTACAGTCATTGTCTGATGGTGTCAATATCTTAACACATCAAACTTATGTGAACAATATTTTATCAGGTGTTGTCTTACATCTCGGCCCGTCGAACATATTATATGAATAGTATTTTACCTGGTGTTGTCGCATATCTCGCCCGTCAAACAGTATCTTAAATTATGAAATTGTCATCCAGGAGGAGGAAAGGATGGTGTTCAAGTGTATATAAATTTATTGATTCCATTGATGGTCATCCTATACTCAATGATCAGATATTAGCATACAAGTGTGCTACAAAACATTTAGCTATACAATTAAAAACCTAGATGCGAAGGAATGGAGGAATCAACTATTTAATGACACGAGAATTATGACGAACGGTTATTAACTTAGGACATATAGAACTTATACAAACACTCCTGAAGTGGAACCAAATGTTTGTCAAAATATGCACAGAGCACATAGGCGTATAGTTTCATAATTTCGCAATGGAAACTTACCCCTGGCAGTCGAGACCAACAGGTACACCAGACAGCCTTTACCATTAGTGGAAAGACTGTGTAAACTATGTGATAGTCAGGAAATAGAAGATGAGAGACACCTCCTCGTGAAATGTCCACAATCTGGTGATATTAGGTTTGATCTTTTTTCCATGGCCATGGGAAAAATTCCAGACTTCGCAATGTTAGACGAGGAACAAAAATTCATCACTATAATGAACTGTAATAGCATCCAGAGTCAACTTTCAACTTTTATATTACAATAGGCGCAAAGGACATATAATGCAGTGGTACATGTATCATCTATTTCACACAGTACGTGATTTCTACTAGGTGAATAGTATCTATAGTGCATCATTAGAAACTACTAATTAACTTGATAATCATGTAATTTAAAAGTATTTGTTCTCTTTCTATTATTATTAATAAATTATTTAATATTTTTTAAATTTTAATAGTATGGGATACTATGGAGATGTTTTCATTATAGGATTTTTTTTACGATGAAATTATATGTATCATGTGTTTTAATAGTGTCTCGTAGGTCAGATTTTGGCAGGATATTAATTCCTGTTAATGGTTTTTATATTGTATTTGTTTTACTGTGAATTAATATGTGACACTTTAATAAAAATGATTTTATTATTATCATTTATAATCTTAACAATATTTTATCTGGTGGTGTCACATATTTCGGCCTGTCAAACACACTATGTGAATTATCTGGTGTTGTTATATATATCGGCCTGTCATACATATTATCTTATTTTACCAGGTGTTGTCACTTATCTCGGCCCATCAAACGTGTTATGTTAACAAAAGTTTACCTGATGTTGTCATATATCTCGTCACGTCAAACTTATTTTGTGAACAATGTTTTATCTGGTGTTGTCATATTTCTCCGCACGTCAAACTATAATTTACATGGTCCTGTCTTGACGGCAATTCTTGTCTTATTTTCACAATGGTTTCCACAAGTATATTCAGAGTTCTCAGTCAGATTTACTCAAAATAGGTAATAATTTATATGCAAAATATTAAATTTTCTTTCTCCAAAACTGTAAAAAGATGGTACTTTTTGATTAAATGCAGTTAACTTCTCCAACCATCATTTTGGTATATTGTGTAACACTAAAGTAGCAAATATGAAAAATTGCCGAAAAAAGTAGCACATAGTTGACAAGTAGGTCACTGTGATCTTGTTATTTATTGGCTCAATTATGTCAACAATTCTGTCTTCAAGAATCTTACAAAATTGTTTTGATAAGTATCTTAACCAAACATAAAGAACTGGGGTTCGAAAAGAATCGAAGGGGGGGGGGGGGGTTAAAGACAAGCGGGGGGGGGAAATTGTTCTTTATCTGCCTTTTTAAGTACAGCAATTTTATTAGATTTTCAGATGTATCAAAAGTAAGCATTGACATACATCTGTTTTTATCACCCTCCCAATCATGATTTGATATAAGTTGGTGAAATTTACTAAAATCGGCTAGCTTGTAAAGCCAAATGTGTCTCTTAAAAACAGGTTTCGTATTAAAAGGTATTTCAATATAAACAAGACTACCGTCATGATCACTTATATTTCTGTCTACATTTACTACAGATCCATCATTGCTATTCAACGAGTCAGATACAAGGATTGGATCACGATCGCAAAGGCTTTGTCTACCTGGGCCAAATCAAATTGGTTCCGAAATAACATTTGTAAAAGTGTATGTCGAAATTATGTCAGACAAAATATGCTTTGGAGTAAATCTGAGAATATCTACATTTAAGTCACCATTTATTAATAGATTTGGAGAAATATCGAAAGCTCGATCTATAGTTTCACGTAGGTTATCCCAGAAAGGACTTGCGGCATTTTCCTGTCTATATATTGTACAAATCGAAATACTGGGCTGAGGTGGCTCGACACTGATCCATAGTACTTCATCATCGGGATATTCTAGATCAAATAAACGTTTTACCTTAAGACTTTCTAATACATACACAAGAATCCCACCACCTGCAAAATTTCTATCTAACCTGAAAGGTGTATGGAAACCTTCTATACCTAGATCATCAGGAGAAAATGCTCGTCAAAATAAGTTTCGGTTAAGCAGATAATATCGTAATCGTGAGCAACAACTTCAATATAACGGAATTTTATTTCGAACACTTCGGACATTTAAATGAAAAATAGACAACTCGTTTGGACCTGGGTTAGATTCGATATACATGTGAGTGAGAAAAAGAGAAAGTTATATTAAAGAAAACTCAATATTAAGTACTGCAGAATTCACGAACAGGACAAGGGAGTGTTTGCGTTTTAAAGCGAACTCAACGGTAACCAAAACTGGTTGTAAATTTTACCTGGATCTACACTGAAAATACAAATAGATTTGATTAAACATCTGCCGTAGACTTTCGAGTAAAAAGTTCCGATCCCCACTCTATGACTCAAAACATCTCTACCCATTCTCAAACGAGAACGAATGACAACATAGTGAAAGGCGAACGGGAACAATAACAACTTTGAAATGTGCAATCCAGCAGTTTGAAACAATGTAAGAAAAGACAATCAAAACCAAAAAAAAAGAAAAAAGGAACAACAGAAAATGTGATATATACACACGTGCTACTCGTCATAGTTTGCATATCTCTGCTGATAAAAGACGTACTGTTTGAAAACTCAGCAGATAAAATACATTATTCAAGACTTATTAGTATTGACTGTACACGCACGCACGCGCGCACACACACACTCATACATACATACACCGGGGCGTTTCTAGGATATTTGAAAGAGGGGGAGGGGAAGAATCAAAATTTTGGACCTTTTTTTTGCACACTTTAAACCACATAGATCGCAAGCCCAATTATAGCAAGACGTTGATACAGCTTATATATTCATGATATACGACTTCTCTCAACAGTTGCTTCAATCAAGTACTTACTTTAGTTTCTAACAAGTTTTACATTTAACTTTTCTAAATAGCCTCGAATGTGTTTCCCATGTCTGTTTCTCATGTCTCTCGAATGATAAAGTCGTTTAGCATACCAGGTGACGTAATCGATCTTCATCAATTGTAATACCCGGTGGAACACGTGGTATTGTGTAAGGATGACCTCTGACCGTTTCGAACATATAGTCGCCACTCATGACTCCAACCCTGCGCATGAGATAAGGAGCAGTAGGAAAAAGCACGCTTATACTAAACATAAATTTAAGTCGATGTAAACTGAAAATATTGATGAAATTTTATGACTTTAATTTCAACCGCAGTTTTCCGACCGATTTCGGCACGATAAATTTAGTACGAGTGTATACGAAATGTATAAATAGGTATTAGATAATTATACCACACTGTCTACATGTACGAATAAAGAGTACGTAATATTTATCGATATTGACTTCATCTACGACCTTTGGTGGCCCATCTTTTGATCTAAGAGATAACTTACCATTTTTTAAAGATATTTTGTCATATTGATCGATTTTAATGACATTATTGTCATGCATCTTTTGTGACATAACTATTAACGTTTAGTATAACAAGGTTTCCTTATAAGATGTGAAAGTTATGTGATAATAATCGATATTAATGTTCGATTTAGTCTTTGACGTATTTTTATTTATACACTGACCTTTAGTAGTCATATTGATTAATATTGATGATAAAATGTATCTCGGTCCTTTACGGATACTAACCTAAATAAGAAATAGGAAAAGAAAGAAATGTACTTGTAAAATAAGAGAATCTAATTTACAAGCACTTTTACAATCTTTGATTTTTATTGTTAAAGATACAGTATATCCTCTCTGTTTTACAATGAATGAAATGTGTTATTACATATGTATGGCTGGTATTTGCAAGTCGTTCGCATCTCTATCATACACAGATTGCTTTATATACTTTGCCATTGTTAATTATGCGACGGGCAATTTTTGAACAGAACAAAGCCCTAATACAATCAGGCGTGGCTTGGTAGCTCACGTGACCATGGAACTCTGGTTTCAAAAGTAATAAATAACGGGGAAATAGCGGGAATCTAATATACAGAAGCTTAGAATGTCTGGTTTTCATCAGAATGTTCGTTAACGGGTTTGATACTTTAAATTTGCAAATCATTGGCGAAACGTTAAAAAGATTAGAATATTATTTTATAAACGGAGTGGCTATTGACACTCGGGCCAGATATGCAAAAAAAACGGTATGCCGAGTAGCGGATTCCGGAAAGTTATCCTGTGGAGATAGTAATTGTGCGTAGGCGGTTGTGCATATCCGGATAGGACTAGAACGATAAATGTCATCTTTGGTCAACAATAATACTAAGCGAATGGACTATTGACTAAATTTAACAATCTGTATCGTTATAAACACAGAAAACGTGTTTAGTTACTCATTATCACAAATTATCATTCGCTGTTGTTAGGTGCTCTGACTTTCGGTTAGAATGTCAACCCCAATGATTATATATACGATATTTACGATTATTGGAGGCTTACTGATATGGGATAAATGAATTAAGGGCTTGTGGGTAGGGGGCTAATAGGTTGGAGGCTAATAGCAAGGGAAAATAACAGCTAGGTCAGCTAACTGATAAGATAAGATAATATGTCAATGGGTAACTAGAACTGTAAGCTAAAGGCTTACTAAAGCAAATCATTGCCAAGCAATCCATAATATCCCACCAGTAATGATTTCTTTATTATATAGGTCACTGACATACTTCATGTACTGCCTCCCAATGCCAAAACATACTTGCAAACCAAATCTTGTTAGCCCTGATGAACCGGTTTTGCTGAAATCGTTCTAGAAGTTAAGGAAGAGTTGTCCGAATAAAGATTTTTAACAAAGAGCCATAACTATTTTAAAAAGGTCGAAATGAAAAAGAAATATTACCCTGATGCACGACACAAAGAAATAGTAGAATATGCAGGGTGTCCCACATGAGTCACCGTTTACGATAAATAGGCAGTGGGATACTGCAGGTACACCTGTATATTCTTGGTTTCTTTAATTTACCCTCAAAATGTATAGAAGACAAGAAAGAAATCATTCCAATTCTGCAGGATAGGGGGCCAGGGTAGGGGACCAGGATAGGGGACCAGGGTAGGGGACCAGGATAGGGGACCAGGGTAGGGGACCAGG